TAAATTGTTTGGCTGTAAAAATCAAAATTAGCCAATTGTTAAATTAAGTTTTGAACCATTGTATCTTAGAAATGATTAAAGATATCTTACTGGAATACTCCGAGGTTTTTATCACACTATTGGACTCTACTTTGGGTAATAAGAAAGTATAATTACTCTCTAAGCTTAACAGAAGAATCGTGATGAAAGCGATCATAAACTAAAATGTCATGTTCATCATTAATTAATCATAGTTAAGGATCAGAAGCTCATGAAGGATTGAAATAAAAGTTCATATATATATATATATATATATATATATATATATATATATATATATATATATTATTCCAGGATCATTTTCCAACTTATTCAAGATGATCTTTGCCCTCTCTAACCTTCTAACTTTCTGTCCTGGAGTAACAAGGTGCCTCACAGGTTTCATGTACGATTTCATTTTCAAGTCTTTTTTCACTGCTCTTTGGACTGTCATAGCTGAAACTCCTCTCTCACGTGCCAAACGTCTTATGGATTGAGTTGGATCTTTTCTAATTGATCTCTTTAGCTCTAAGTTGAAATGATGATCCCTCTTCCTGTTGTGACCTCCTGATCCAGTTTTCCTCTCTACTGTTCCCTCTTTTTTAAACTTATTCACCATTCTCTTGATGGTTCTTGAATGGACTTTGAAGATGGAAGCCAGAGTATGAATGTTGGTACCATTACTGAAGGCCTGAATGATCTTTTTTCTCTCACCATTGCTCAGTTGGGAAGACATAGTGGGGCTGACACAAAATGATTTTAACCTGTTCTCTTTCTAGCTGAATAACTCAAAGGGTTTTTCAGTGATTCTTATGACAAATGGTGTCAAGATGGCTAAACGTCTTATTTGAAAACCTGGAAAAAAAGAAACTCAATTAGTTTAGTGGTTTTTTTTTAGATATTAAACATTTTGTGGGATGGATAATTATCATGTTGTTACATGATTTGGACAATTTTAAAACAACAATTCAATAATATATATATTATATATATATATATATATATATATATATATATATATATATATACGTAATATAATTTTTTATAAAACTAAAAATTTATTTTTAAATTTAAATTTTAAAAAAATAAAAAAGAAAAATAAAATTTAAAAATTTTCTTTGATAGTGGATTTTAACAATGAAAATCCAAATCTTTAAAAAATTTTTTCATTTTTTTGCTCAATAAGTATTTATATCATTGTTTCTATTTTTAAAATTTATTTTTATTCAATTTATATATTTGTATATATATATATATTTATATATATATATATATATAATATAAATTAATTTATGATATTTTAATCACAAATTTTCTGATTTAATTTTCATGATTAAGCAAATTTTTAACATTTAATTTTATTTAAAATTTTTTATAATATGTTTTTTGGGCAATGTTTTTTTGTATAAAAAAGACAGACAGAGATATATTTATATTTCAGGTTTAAAAAAATATATAATTTAATGCATTTATTCCAAATTCAAAGACATTCTAACATTTTTTAAAAAAAAATTTAAAAAAAAATTTATTATGAAAGAGAACATTTTGTTTGGATAAACGCACAATGGATACATGTTCATTTCAGTGTAAAAGTCCAAAGTTTTACTATTATTTGGTCAAGTGATAAAAACTTACGTACGCCGTTAGAACATGTGAAAGACTGTCTTCTTTATGTGTCAATTTGTATAAGTTAAGTTTGGTGGCCTTTTAATAATGATGGAAAAATGATTTATTTCATCTGCAGGAATGGCCTATCATCCGCGTACATATAATATCAATGCTGAGATTTACAAAAAAAATTTTTTTCAGCAGCATGTGGTACCATCTTAAACCATAATTTTATGAATTTTAATTTTTTTCATGCAGGACAATATGCACCTTTCCACAAAGGCTTATTGTTAAAAAAATATTTAAATTTAGAAGAAGGAATAGTCTAATGAAGTGGCCATTATTAATAATTATTTTAAATTTAATTTAAAATGTTTGGAAGATAATTGGAAGAAAATTTTTTATAAAAGAAAATAATATAAAACCAGGATCAATTATATATAAGTTATTGAAAGACAAATGGGAAGGATTACTGAAATATTTTTGCAAGAAATTAATTTTATCAATGTGGTCGACGATGCAGAGAAATCATTGAAAATAAATTAATGTTTCATTTACTCTATTAAAAATTTTGTTGATATTTTGTTCATTAATAAGTATTAACAAAATTATTCTTTAACTTTTTATTAAGTAGCTTTATTTCAGATAATATTTTATTTAAAAAAAAAAAAAAAAAATTATTTAAATTTTTGTAACTTTGTATAATATTTATAAATTATTTTTTTAAAATAATTTTTTTAAAAAAAAATTCATTGGAATCATAAATTACTTTTTAAATTTTACATTTATTTATGTCTTTTATTGTTTCCATTTTTATATTTGAACATTCTGTATATATATATATATATATATATATATATATATATATATATATATATATTATAATATATGATATATAGATTAAATATATATTTAATTAAATTCTGTAATTACAATGATATATTTTTGTTTTATTTTTTATATATATTTTTTTTAAATATTTTAGAAATATAAATTAAATATTTTCTATTAATTTATAAACAAAATTTTATAAAAAAAAAATGTTTTTATTTTCATATTCTTTATATATAATTTCGAATTTTTTAAATTTTTTATATAATTTTCTATTTATATATATAGATAATTTTATTATATTTATAATACATATTGAATTAAAATTTTAAAGTTATAATAATTATAATATATAATATATATATATATATATATATATATATATATAAGATATAAATATTTTTTCCTTATTTATATTCTAGAAAAATATTTAATAATAATATATTATTTTAAATTAATATATAATAAATAATTAATAATTTATTTTATTGTAGAATAAATTTAAAATAAAAAATTTAATGGAAATTTTTTTTTTTTTTATTTATTTTTAAATAATATATTTTCTTTATATAATATAAACAATTAATAATTTATATATATAACTTAAATTATTCTGATAGGATTTCTAAATTTAATGGTGAATTTTTAATTTTAAAAAATATATTTTAATTTTTGTTTGAATTATTTTTTAAAGGCCGTTGAATTTTAATATTGAAATTAAATAATAAAAATTATAGATAAAACGAAAAAATTTATAGAAAATTTGCAAAAAAAAATAATATATTTTATTTATTTTTTTAATAATATTCAAATTTATTTTATTTATAATATTTGAATATTTTGATTTTAGATGTCCTTAAAAAAAAAAATTTAAAAACAAAATTCAAAATATTTTATAATTCTTGTCATATATATTTTATCAAAGAAATTTTAATCATCTATAATTGCAAAATAAAACTATTTAGATATTATTTTTGGTTGGTTTAAAATAATTTATCAAATTTAAAATAAAATAAATAAAAAACATAAATATAAAAAATTTATGAAAGTTATTTAAATTAATATATGAAATGGGATAAAAAATGATTTTTTAAATTTTATTTATATTTTGGTAAAATGAAACTTGAAAAATGACATTTTTAATTCTAATTTTAAAATTTTAATGATAAATTAAAAATTAAAATCCAATTTTTTTTAAAAGAAAAAAAAAAAATAACAAAAATATTGGCTTTTTTATTTGTTTGTTAAAAAAAAAACTTATAAAAGTCAAAATCAAAAAAAAAAAAATCCAGAAATAAATAAATTAAAATCGAAATTTGTATATTGGAAGAGATTCCTTAAATTATTTAAATATAAATATAATGTATATAAATAAAAAATATCCATATTTTAAAAATAATAAACCAAAATAACTGTGACGAACAAAAAAATAAATATAAAAAATTTTTTTTTTTATTTTTTTTCTACCCCCTTTTTGAAATTTAAAAAAAAAAATTTATTATGAAAACAGAAAATTTTTTCAAATTGCAAAATTTTTTTGAAAGGTTCTTATAAATCATTTTATGAAATTTTGTTATGAAATTTTATAAAAAAATTTTTAAAATTTTTCAAAAATATAAATTTTTTATTTTTTTTTCTGAAAAATTTTTAAATTTGTATTTTTAGTTAAAAAATTTTTATTTTTTTTATTCATAAAAGATTGAAGAAGGAAAAGAATGATTAAATTTTGAAAAAATCCTGTTAGCCAAAAAATTTTATTATTGTTAGAATTTTTTTTTTTTTTTTCTTTATTAAAAATCGCAGTTTTTGTCTTATATATATTTATAAAAAAGTAATTTTTCAAAATTTGGAGAAATTTATTAAATTAACTTTTCTGAATTTATTTTCTTTTCTTTTCAAAAAAAAAAACTTTAAAAAAATGAAAAAAAAAAAACTGAATATATTAAAATTCATAAATCTTATTTTTTGGAAAAATTTCCATTCATGAAAAAGTAATTAAAAATAAATGAACATTTATAAATAAATATTTAAAATGATTTAAATATTTGAAAAATTTATAAATTGAAGAATTTTTTTTTATTTATATCATAATTTCAAAAATGTATAATTCGATTGTTTATTTATCAATTTAATTTAAATGAAAAAATTTTTATTGACATTTTTTCAGATTGATTCATTTATTCAAATTTTAAAAATTTAATTTAAAAAATTTCATTTGAAATATCAAAAGTTATTGTATTAATTTAATTTAAAAATTAAATATTTTAATAATTAAAAATAGCTAGAGAATAGTCGGAACAAATGATAGAAAGTTTAAGAAAAAAAGAATTTTGATTTTATGATTTTTTGGGTAAATCAAATTTAAAAAATCAAAAAGAAAAAAAAAAAAAGAAAAGAAGTTTTTTTCCCAGAAAAAAATAAAGGAAAAGAAAAAAAAGGAAGAAGAATCGCTAAAAAAAAAAAGTAGGAAATCAAAAAAAATGAAATATAAATACAACGACTATATAAAAAAAAATAAATTAAAAAAAAAAAAATTCAGAAATTTAAAAGAAGAAGAAAATTTTTAAAAAATCTGTTAAGAATATAAAGAAAGAAGGAAAAAATAAAAATTGTCTTTTTTTAATGAGGAAAGAGAGAAAGAAAGGATGGAAGAAGAAGAAAAAGAAGAAGTAAAGAAAAAAGAAAGAAAAAAAATTTTTCTAAAAAGAATTTATATTTCAAGAAGAAAGGAAGGAAAAGAAAAAGTTTGGAAATGAGAAAAGAAAAAAAAAATTGGTCAAAAAATTTCGAAGAAAAAAAAAAAAGAAAGAAATAAGAGATGAAATTAAATATTAAAAAAAAAAGAAAAAAATTGAACCAAGAAAGAAGAAGAGGAAGATGGGAAGAAAAAGAAATGAAAAGAATAAAATGAAAAAAATAAAAAAAAAATAAGAGAAAAAAATGAACAAAAAAAAAAAAAAGAAAAGAGGAAAGAAAAAGGATTAAACAGAAATAAATAAATAAGAAAACGGAGAAGAATCAAAAGGAAAAAGAATGAAAACGAAAAAGAAGAAAAGGAAGAAGAGAGAAATGAAGAAAGAAGGAAAGGAAGGAAGAAGAAAGAAAAGGTAGAAAGAAAGAAGAGGAGGATAAAGTTACAAAAACAGAAAGAAAGAAAGAAGTAGATTAAAAAAAGGAAGAAGAAGGAAAACTATAAAAAAAAACAAAGTGAAATGCATAAAAAAGAAGAAAAGAAAAAAAAGAAAAAGTGGAAGAAAAAGGAGGAAAGACGAAAAGAAGAGAGAAAATCGAGATTAAGAAGTAAGAAAGAAAGAAAAGGACGAAGAAGAAAAAAGGAAAGAAAGAAAACGAAGAAGAGGAAAAAAGAAGAAAAGTTAAATGAAGGAAAAGGAGAGAAAAGGAAGAAGAAGAAGAAAAGGTGAAGAAGAAGAAGAAGAGGAAGAAGAAGAAGAAGAAGAAGAAGGTACTGTCTTGGTGTTAAAGCTTTTGCATACATACGAAGCGAGATACATTCTACTGAAAAGGAGGCGAAATACCGTAAAACAAAAGCCTGAGCCGCCTAGAGTTAAAAAGGACAGGAGGATTTCTTTGGTAACAAAGCAAAGAGTACGTTACATGACATCTGTTCTTCTTTACGGCAGCGAATGTTGGACGATTTCCTCAAAGATGAACAAGAGACTCAGGTTTACAGAGATGTTGTTCTTCTTGATGCTAAGGATATCATGGACCGAGCATGAACAACGATGAGGTCTTTAGAGAGGATGCAAACAAGGAGGAGGTTTATACTTAATATAGGAAGAGGCGGCGAATGTTGACGATTTCAAAAGATGAAGAAGAAACTCGAGGCGATGGAGATGTGGTTCTACAGAAGGATGCTAAGGATATCATGGACCGAGCGTGTGAGCAATGATGAGGTCTTAGAGAGGATGCAAACAAGGTGGAGGCTTATATCAACATCAGGAAGAGGCAGGGATATATTGACGGCCTCCAAAAGATGAAGAAGAGAGATGATGACGGAAGAACAACAGAAAAAAGAGTAGAAATATCATGGACCGAGCGTGTTTTAAAATGATATCCATTAGAGAGGATGCAAACAAGGAAGAGGCTTATAATTAACATCAGGAAGAGGCAGCGAATGTTGGACGATTTCCTGGGAAAGATGAAGAAGAGAGTCGAGGCGATACTAGAAAATGGTTATACAGAAGGATGAGGAAAAATATCAAAGGACCGAGCGTGTGAAGAGCAACGATGAGGTCTTAGAGAGGATGCAAACAAAAGGAAGGAGGCTTATAAAGAGAACATCAGGAAGAGGCAGCGAATATTGGACGATCAAAGATGAAGAAGAAAGTCGGAGGCGAAATCTATTCCTCATCACAGAAGGATGCTAATATATCACAGACTTGAGCGTGTGAGCAACGATGAGGTCTTAGAGAGAATTTTAATAAGGAGGAGGCTTATACTCAACATTTACAAGAGGCAGCGAATGTTGGACGATTGGTTTAAAGAAGAAGATGAGACTTTGAGTCGACGGAGATGAAAAATGACTGAAATTGCAAAAGATAAAAGGACCGAAACTTGAATAACAAAAACTTAGAGAGGATGCAAACAATCTACTGGCATATCTTTAACATCAGGAAGAGGCGTGTCATTTTACAATTCTTCAAATTTATGAAGAAGAGACTTATGCGACGGAGATGGGTAATACAGAAGGATGCTCAAGGATATCATGGACCGAAAATCAATAAGAAACCAAAATTTGGTCTTAGAGAGGATGAAAAAAGGAGGAGGCATATACTAAAATCAGGAAGAGGAGTCAATTTTTTGACATTTCTTTGAGATGAAGAAGAGAGTCGAGGCGATCTAAAAATGGGTTATCATCAGAAGGAAAACATAAAGATATCATTAATTTAATCATCTAGAAACGATGAGGTCTTAGAGAGAATGCAAACTGAGGAGGAGAACAATATATCTTAAAAACAGGAAGAGGCCGAATGTTGGACGATTTCCTTGAAAATGAAGAAGAGACATTCTGGTAGGCGACGGAGATTTTGGTTCTTTAAAGGATGCTAAGGATATCATGGAAATTTAGCGTGTGAGCAACAATGATTCTTTAGAGGATGCAAAAAGGAAAAGGTTTTAACTTAACATCAGGAAGAGGCAGCGAATGTTGGACGATTTCTAAAAGATGAAGAATTACTTTCCTATGGCATTTAAAGATGTGAAATTTTATTCAAAAATGATGAAAGGATAATTTTATGGACCGAGCTGTTAGCAATGATAAGGTCTTTTTTTTTTATAGAATTAAACAAGGAGGAGGCTTAATATTTTTTTCTTGTTCAGGAAGAGGCTCCTGAATGTTGGACAGAAATGAAAAAATGTTAAAAATGAAAACGACGGAGATGTTGGCTTCTACAGAAAAACAAGATTAATAAAATTTTTTTACCGAGCGTTTAAGCAACGATGAGGTCTTATGAGAGGATTAAAACAAGGATCAAATTTACTTAACATCAGGAAGATTTTTTTTCTATTGACATTTAGCAAAGATGAAGAAAAGACTCAGGTCGATCTTTATGGTCAATGAAGGATGCATTGATATTTCAATTAAATGCCTGTGAGCAACGATGAGGTCATATTAAAAAATGCAAAAAAGGAGGAGGCAATAAAGAACATTCAGGAAGAGGCAGAGAATGTTGACGAACAATTTCTATGAAAAGAAATATTTCATTCGACGGAGAACGTGGTTTTTTTTCATGCAATTAACAATTCAAATTGCAACTGATTTAGAATAAGGCAAAAAATTCCTCATTCACTTATCATTAACATTCAAAAGAGGCATAAAACAACAGTAAAATCAAAAATGAATAAATTGAAATTCAAAATTCATATATTTTTATTGGAATATAGAATTTCCCTGCTGACTATAAAATGCAAATTGAGAATTTAAAAATGAAAAAAAAAAATGAAAAAGAAAATTTTGGAAAAATGAAACAATTTTGAAAAAAAAAAAAAAAATTAAAAAAATATTCGAGTCAGGCTAAGGAAAATTAAAGAAAATATAAAAATGATTTCTTTATTGCAATGCCAACCAAAGAAGGCAAAAAAACAAAAAATGATTTGAGAAAAAAAACGAATTAAAAGATTTCTTCAAAGAAAAAAACAAAATTAAAAAAAAAATTCTTTTTTAAAACTTTTAAAATGTCAATCTAAAGAAATTTTTTATCTATCTTTATTCTCAAAAAATTATTTTGAGAAGTTTAAAAAAAAAACAAAAATTATTTTTTTTCGTTTCCTGATAGAACAATCCTTTAAGAAAAAAAATGGAGAAAGTCTTTATGTGAAAAAAATAAAGTTTTTTATGAAAAAATTGTTCAAAGAAAAAAGAAAGAAAGAAAAAAAGGAACTAAATTTTAAATATTCAAGGAAAAAAAAAAAGAAAGAAGAAAAAAAAAATTAAATATTTTTTTTTAAAAATTTTAAAATAAATATAGGCTATAAAAATATATAATTTTTTATAAGAAAAAAACGAAAAGGAAAATTGAATTTGAAAATCCCTGGAAAGATAAAGAAAACTTTTTATATTTAAAAAAACGCAAATTTGAAAAATATATATTTTAAGAATATTTCAAAATAAGGAAAAAAAGAAAGAAAAATAAATCTGATTTTGAAAAGAAAAATGTAAGGAAAAAAAATCTAAAATGAATTTTAAAATAAAATAAAAGAGAAAATTGTATTTAAACCTAATTTTTTGGAATTCATACTGAAATCCAAAAATGAAATAAAAAAAGGAATGAAATCTATTTTTTGAAAATTCATTGAATAAAAAAAAAAAAAAAATGATTTTTTGTCTTCAGTTTAAGAATGAAAAGAAAGCAAGAAAAGAAAATTTCGTAACAGATAAAAGGAGAAAATAAAATTTTTTTTTAAAAGGAAAAATTGTTTAAGACAGATGAAAAAAGAAAGTTTTTTTTTACATTAAAGAATTTCTTTGAATATGACTGAAAGCCTTTTTTATAAAGAAAATTTAAAATATTAAATAAATTTTATAAAATTTTTTTAAGAAAAATAAAATAAGAAAGAAATGAAAGAAAGATTTTGATTTCAAACAAAAAAAAAAAAAAAAGAAAAGAAATTCAGAGAAAAAGAACATTTTTAAAAAGAAAATTCAAAAAAAGATTAAAAGAAAAAAATAAACGAAAAGAAAAAAGAAAAATCTTTAAAGGTCAAAAAGAAGAAAAAAGAAAGATTAAAAAAAGAAAAAAAAAAAAGAAAAGAAAGAAAAAAAAAAGAAAGAACTTTTTTCCTCAAAAGAAAAAAAAAGAAACTGAGATTGTTATTTAAACGAAAGAAGTTTTTAAAAAAATAAACAAGAAAAATTTAAAAAAAAAAAAAAAATCATTCCTTTGCTAAAAAAGAAAAAAAATTTTTAAATTCTTAAGAAAAAAGAATAAAAAAAAAAAAAAATAAAACGAAGAAACAAAGAAAAACAAAAATTAAAGTTTTTAAAAAAACAAATTCATATGAATGAAAGAAAAAAAAAATAATTTTAAAATAAATTAAAAAGCTAGAAATTCTGAATGTTAAATTTATTCCAGAAAAAATGAAATTAAAAAAGAAAAAATCTTCAAAAGAAAAAATAGAAAGAAAGTTTCTATCCAATTATAAGAAAAAAGGATGAAAACTTTTATTCTTTGAAAGAAAAAAGAATTTTGAAAGATTCCAAAAGAAATTATTTTCCAAGGAAGAAGAAGGAATTTTTTAAGGAATTTTTTGGATCAGAAACTAGAAAAGAAATGGATATTTTTTATCGACAACTTTTGAAATAACATCTGAAGCAATCAAATTGATGTTTAAAATATTTTTTAATTTTAATTTCCATTTAACCAATTCTTGTACATTTGTTTTGAAACGCGGGCATTTTAAAACGTTTGATTAAAAATTATTTTAAATTTTAATTTTATTTGATAATTCAAATTTAAAAAGATACACAACACACACACACAACGAAATGTTCACACACACAAAAAATTCATAAAAGTTTTTAAAAGTATCGTACAGAGAAAGGATGAAATAGAAAACAAAGTTTTTCATTAAATTTTCATCATAAAAAATTTCAATTTTTATTCTTATGAAAATCATTTTTGAACGCCTAAGGCATGAAAAAATTAACTTCGATCATGAAATTCGCAAAAATAAAACAAAATTTGTTAAACTGGATTAACACATTGTTTTTTATTTTCTCTTTTTACCGATTAAATTTCTTAATATACTATAAATTCTTTTTTTTTATTTATCTTAAGTTTAAATGTATATACATAATTTAATTTTTTTATGTTAAAAACTTTTCTTTTAAATTTTTAGGTAATTTTTTTTTTTTTTTTTTTTTTCAAAATTTGAATTTTTTTTTTTTTTTTACAAATGATTTATCACAGAAAATTTTAAATTTTCTGATTCATTTTAAATCTTATTTCTAACATTCAGACATGACGTTTTTATTATTTATTTATTTTCATTTGAATTTCTATTTAATAGGATGTTTTGATTTAATGATTTTTTAAAAAGGAAAGTTTTCAGATTTTTTTATAACAAACAATTTTAAAAAATTATGTTTACTTCTTAAATTTTTACATGTACAACTATACACCCTTATGCAAATTAATTGAAACAACTGCTTTAGTTTCCTTTCTTTCACCAGTCAGTTTTAGACCCACTGGAGTGACAGGGTGTAATCGATTTCTATTTTTTCCTCAGATTAGGTCATTTGCAGTGGTGTGCAGTAATATGAATCTATTTTCGGGGTGTATGATGAAATTTGTTTGGCCTTGAAAAATATTGCGTCATCCGTGATTGCATCAGATTTATATCACGTCCAGACACTATTGTCTCGACTGTCGATTAGTTGTCCTACGGCCATTGTCTGTGATGGACGTTACTCCAAGGAGGTGTACAAAAATTGTAACGCTGCACGAACACACTAGAAAGCCATACCAGTGCACAAATCAAAGTATATTAGATTGGCCCGTAAATTCTCCTGATTTAAATGCAGTCGAGAATATGTGGTCAGTCTGTAAGAGACGACTTCATGGAATGGACACTCGAAGTACTAACATGTGCACTGGGTTTCATTGGAAAAATACGAAAAAAAAATAAATAATAACTGAATTATTCGTTTTGTTTCAATTAAAAAAACAAACAGGGTGATTTTTAAATGGAAAATTATCATGGAATGGAATATCAAATAAAAAATAGAAATAGTAACATTTCATTTTAGAAATAATGGAAAATACAAATCGATTAAGTTTTAAAAAAAAAAACGTCTGAGAGAAAAAACGGATTTTTGGAAATAAATTTTTGTTTGTAAAGGATACATCCAATTTAAATCACCATTGTGTAAATTAACTGAAAGTGTCTTCGGCTTTTAAAATTTACTTTCATGACTAAAGTCAAATTTAAATAAACTGGATTTCGACTGAAACCATTCATTTCTTAACACTTTTTTCATAATTTCATTTGAATGGATACAGTTGTTATTTTTCTAATTTCTAAAATATCTTCAGAAGGTTTTATTTAGAAATGAAAATTACCTCAAATTTAAATTTTGTCCTAGCCAAAATCAAATAATTCAAAACGAACATATGAACAGGAATATAGCTCGTCAAGAAATCTGTCATATATAAAATAAACAAAGATAAATAGATTTCCAGCAACGTTATTCTTGAAATTTATATATTCGATATATATATATCATATATATATATATATATATATATATATATCTCATATTTTAACTGAACAATTTGAAATTATAAGTGATGAAAGTCAATCGCAAATATTTTAAATGAATTATAAAATTTTGGAAAGTGTTTCCATAAAAATTTGATAAATGAATTTTGATGATTTAAAACAAAATTAAAACATTTTGATTTTTGGATTTTGTTTATCAACCTCAAATATATGATAAAATAATAGACTATATATAATTAATAAATTGTTTTTTTGTATTTATTTAATAAAGAGTTCACTGCCTTTGACTGATATGCTTCAATTGATTAGATGTCAGTTTACATTTCCATAGAGGATAATGACAAAAAAATAAAAAAAAAGTTAAGAAAATCAACCAGTCAATAGATTGTGCGAGTTGTGTTGAGTTAATGACAGACCAGAATAGTGAATTGAAAAAGACTACATTGGCATGTATGGAACCTGATTGTTCGTAAAACAAAATGAAACTTCAGTATCATAATTTTGTTTTTTAATATATCTGAGTTATTCTATTTTTTTTTTTTTTTTTTAGATTTTTGGTTTTATATTTATCAGGCTCCAGAAATCTTAAATATTAAAAAATAAATTTGTTTAAAAATTTGATTTATTTTTCACTCCTTTTTAAAAAATATGGAAATTGAGTTCAAATATTAATGAATAGATTTATTTTATTAATCAAGATATGAATTGATTTCAAAAATATGAATCTTCCAATTTTATATAAACAAAAGTCGTGATTCATATATATATTTATAACATTAATGTGAATCTTATTTTTGTTAATGAATTTTATTGGAAAATATATATGAAGCATATCCAGACCATATATATTTTATTCAATATATGATGAATTTTAATTTTAAATGTGCAAGATTAGTTGTCCTAAAATATAATTCAAATGGAAAATATTTCTTGATTCTAGGTAAGGACCAATTTGTAGAAATTTTTTGGTTTTTTTAAAATATTAAGATTTAATATAGAGAATAAAAATATATTTATATATTATTATATTGCCATATGAATTTGATTTAAATTATTTAAATTCTAATCGAAAATCTGAATCAGTCTGTTATTTAT